TAGAATTGTTCAGCCGAATGTAGAAAATGAGGCTAGTGCAAGGGCATACGCATGTTTTTGGAGAAAAATATTTATACATATTAAAAAAGATTTACATCGCCTTCCCGAAAAGTGCTGGGCGCTACTTTGAGCTGTTTCGGAAAGACTCGTGATTATCCCCTCGCGCAACTAGTTGCGGAGGGGATATAGCATCGCTACTGTGCGTATGTGTGTGTGTTACTGTGTCCGTTACAGCTTGTGGGCAAGATTTAAAGAGAACCTTTGCACTATTATTTCTCAGTCTTTACATACTTATGTGGCATTGTTAAAGGACGAACCCTATTCATTTTCAAGTTAATCGGTGAAATAGTTCTTAAAATATCGCCTGTTTACTACCTTCAAACCCTGCAATTTTATGTACGAGTTGACAATACTCACTTCCGGTAAATGTAACAGGTTAAAATTCGGGTCGTCTCGATAGCCGCTTCTATGAGTTCTACTTTGTATTTGCGTATTGTCGTTTTTTTGTGCGTATCTTGAGAATGTTTGTATGAATTAAAGAATTAAAAGTGTCATATCTGTCACTAAGTAATTGAAATAATTTGATGAACGTCGCGGTTTCAATACCAAAATCACCACACGTGTGTTTACAATAGGGGCCTGTGGAATTAAATCTTGAGGCGAACGTAATTCTTGAAAGCTATAAATATAAAGTTTCACAAGTTTCATTGACATCTCAACACCGGTATATTGTCATTTTTCGCTACAAAAAATATTACTTCCGTGCGTATTTTCAGATTTGACGCATAATGCATGCTACTGTGGGGTTTACTCAGATAGGTAAATTAATGAAATTTAGAGCATACGTGATATGTTTCTGCTAGGAATAAGGGAAACTGCCCAATCACGTATGCTTGTTATAACCCCCCTCCCCCGCCCCATGATATCCACCTTGACTTTTGTTAAAATTCAATTAGTGTTGCAATACATTTTAATATCTTTACCTTATTTTAAACTTTATATAGTAATACTGGGTACCCTTGATTACTAGGCCTAGATGATTGTATCTTGTTTAACGTCCCTCTTGAGAATTTTCTCTCGTATTGAGACATTGCCATTACTGACGAAGTTCCTGGCGCGAGGGGATGCTCCGCGTAGCGGTGCTCTTGTTATGCTTAAAATATGTATAATAGCTCAAAATCTTCACTTCGCTTAAATTCTGTCATGAATAAAAATAATGTTATGCCGACCAGAATCAGCTCCCAGCACTTTTCAAAATATACATAATATAAGCAATTGACATTCCATATTTCAGCTCAAACAGTCTAGTCTATGCCCTTGCACTTTTGAGGTTAATCAGGCATACACGTATCGTGTTAGCGATATTCTTTACGTTCTTTGTCTATGTGCAGCTCCATAGCACCTACATAAATTAATAGTCTACATTATTGTTTTAGATAAATTATTTCCTTTTTTTATTAATAAGATTTAAATATTGGCGAATGTTTTATATTTATTTAAGCATTTTTGTAATTATTAGACCAATGGATCCACTCCTCTGGATCACTTGTACTGCGTCAAGTCAAGGCTAGTGACTCATATATGACACAAGATTTGCTTCTAATAACTCGGCAGTATTGCTATCAGATGTTGTGATTTTGCAAACTTTTATAAATAATTGATAAGATAAATGAATGCAAGTTGTTATTTACGCATCTGTATGTGGTTAAATATATTTTTGTCGCTTGTTCAATTTTTAATGACGTCACAATAAAACTTCTCATACGGTGCATCACTAATGTGAACTCGGGCCTTCCTTAACGAAGCTGAGTACGTTTTGAACTTTACAGGAATTAGATTTGAAAGCGTTTTAGAGGCATAATTTAGACATTTTAAGGCCTATGATCATAAAACTTTGCAAGTTGATGCATCTTAGGTGTTCGGAGTAGGTCGAAAGAAAAGTAGGTCACTGTGACCTACTTTTAAATTTATATGGCTATAATTAAATATTTCAGGTACTAATTGGCTTAGATTCATCAAACTTTGTCAGTTGATGCATCTTGGGTCTTCGGAGTAGGTCGACCAAAATGTAGGTCACCTTGACCTACTCTTGACAATTTATGGCTTTAATTAAATATTTCGGGTACTAATTGGCTTAGAATTCTCAAACTTTGTCAGTTGATGTTTCTTGGAACCTCGGAGTACAACAACTGAAAAAATAGGTCACCGTGACCTGCTTTTGAAAATTTATGGCTTAAATTAAATATTTTGGGTACTTATTGGCTTTGAATCATCAAACTTTGTCAGTTGATGCATCTTGCGTCCTTGGAGTACGACAACTGAAAAGTATGTCTGGGTGACCTACTTCGGAAATTTTATTTGCTGTATTTATTATTTTCGGGTACTATTTGGCTTAGAATCATCAAAATTTTTCAGTTGATGCATCTTGCATCTTAGATCCTCGGAGTAGGTTGACTGAAAAGTAGGTCACTGTGATCTACTTTTGGAAATTGTCAGTTGATGTATCTTGGGGCCTTGGAGTACAACAACTGAAAAGTAGGTCATGTTGACCTACTTATAAAATTTTATGGTTATAATTTAAAAAAATATTTTAGGTATTAATTGGCTTAGAATCATCAAATTTAGTTGATGGGTCCCCAGAAAATGACGAGTGATAAGTAGGTCACAATGACCAAATCTGAGGTACTAATTGGCTTAGAATCATCTTGGAGAGTGTGAATTGGAATTTCAAGGGTTTATCTAAATATACAGGATACTTAGAGGCTTCAAATAGAAGTGATAGGTTGTACAGTTTATCAGAAGAGCGATACAAGGCCCTTGGGCCTCTTGTTAGGTTAACAACGTCTTTAATCTCTTGACCTTGACCGTGGAATTTGTCTTCCATTTCAGAAGTTTTCATCCTACTCAAAAGTTCCCAAACAGATTCAGTGTATCACAAACACATCTTGTTTCCCATGCCATTTTCATTCTATGTTTAAGAGCATGTTTCCCTTTAAATTAATTATTTCTATGCCCCCGTAATTGAAGATCCGGGGGTATGTTTTTGACTTGTCTGTCCGTCTGTCTTTTTGCAAAAACTTTAACCTTGCCCATAACTTTTGATTGGATAGAGCTATGAATTTTGTAAGTGTACTTCTTGTGACAAGACCTTCCTTTCAGTTAAAACATTATTGACCTTTACCTTGGAGTTTGACCTAATCTAACTTTTGGACTGTTGGCGATATGGCTTTCATGCTTCGCCTGTGTATTCATTTAGACAAGGCCTTTCTCCAGTTTAAAAAATTACCTTGCCTGATTAAATAAAAAGTTAACCTTTGTATAACTTTTGGAGAGTACTAGGTGTTCTATATTCAGATGTTTTCCCCTTGAGACAAGATCTTTCTTTGGATTCTAACAATTTTGTCCTTGATCTATTTAGTTAAAAAAAGCAAGATATGTTTGTGAAACACTGATGCCCCCATATGGCAACTTATAGCAAAGGTTAAACTTTCTCAAATGCAAATAAAATTTGTTGGTACCCAAAGAAAGGTCTTGTCTCGAGGAATATACCTGTGAAATATGAGAACCTTAACAGCAACCATTGAATAGATATGGAAAAGATTAAAGTTTTTCAAAGCAAGTCAAACATCAAGGTCAAGGTCAAATGGTAAAAAATAATGGTGCTTAAGGGAAGGCCTTCTCACAAGAAATATACTGGTGAAATATGAAAGGTGAAGCACCAATCGTTCAAAATTATGGCCAAGGTTTAAGTTTTCCACAAGTAGTCAAACTCCAAGGTCAAGGTCAAAGTTGGCGGTATCCAAAGGAAGGTCTTGTCACAAGGATTACATATGTGAAGTATGAAAGCCCTAGCACAAACCGTTCAAAAGTTATGGCCAATGTTAAAGTTTTTCAAAAGTAGGTCAAACTTCAAGGTTAAAAGGTCAAAGTTGTTGGTATCCGAAGGAAGGTCTTGTCACAAGGATTACACATGTGAAGTACGAAAGCCCTAGCTTTATCCGTTCAAAAGTTATGGCCAAAGTTAAAGTTTGGTAAAATTTTGTAAAACTAGGTCAAACTCCAAGGTCATGTCAAATATGGTGGTACCCAAAGAAAAATCTTGGCACAAGGAATACACTTGTGAAATATGAAAGCCATAGCTCCAACAAATCAAAAGTTATGGGCAATGTTAACGTTTTTGTGGACAAAACAGACAAACAGACAGACAGGGCAAATACTATATTCCCCCGAATCTTCGATACGGGGGCATAAAAAAACTATTATCATTGTCCTAGCTTTTTTGAGTTGTTGGTGATAATAATTTTTAAGGATTTAATACAACACTTTTGCATTTCTTATGACTAGGCCTTCCCCTGGGTACCATTAATTTTGACTTTGACCAAGCAGTTTAACCCACTTTAGAAAAAAACTTTAACATTGTGCATAACTTTTAAATGGTTGGTGCTTGGGCTTTCATATTTCAAAAGTATACTCAATTACATAAGTCCTTTCTTTGGGTAACAACGTTTCATGTTAAAAGTGAATGAATCTCTTAGAGAAGTGTTTAACAGTAGCAAATTTGCAACAATATCAAAAGCTTCATAAAAAAAATCCGCGTATCATTATTAACACGTTTTGATCGATTGTATATTGTTTTACATCCCCTTCGCGATTTTTTTCCACACACATATAGAGACGTCACCATATACATGTGAAGGGATTCAAATTTAGATTTTACTCGGCACTCGGGGCCATTGAGGGTTCTTTATCGTGCCAACGCCTACCGTGTTACGGGGCATCGGATTTCAAGTTCTCATCCGAAGTACCCTCAACTTTCGAAAATCGGGTCACTGTTCCTTCGCCAAGTGCTTGGCACTTTGAAGTAAAAGTTGCGGGTCCTTCTGATGAGTCCTTGAAAACAGCGACCCCGTGTCACGTTAGGCGTTTGCACGATAAAAACAATCACTGCTCAATGGCGTCAAGTGCCGAGTTAAATGTTTTTGAATTTATATTTTTTGCAGATGTTGAAGAATGGGGAAAAAAACGTGATATAATGAAAGACGTGTCAAAATTGAAAGATTACCCGTCTGTTTTAACCTTCATTGCTGGTCGTAAATATGGTAGCCCCCATGTAAAGGTGTTCCTCAAATTTGAAGACGAAAAAGCAAAGTCGTTTTTGAAATCAAGAATAATTCCATTTGGAACCAGCGTGGAATTCGTGAATGTAACTGAGCGTTTTAATACACTAAGAGAAGAAAATATTCAAAGGCAAGAGGAAAAAGAGGGAACTACCACTCTCAGAAATCCACTGTATGAAATACTTGAAAAAGAAGAAGAAAAAATTTATGCAAAACATTCTAGTGTTGTTGCCATCGAAGCAAATCAATCGAAGCTTTATTTTACTTTGTACTGCCTAGATAAATTTTTAATACCTTTTGGCGAGGAGCCCTTACCAAATCAACTTAGCGGATACCCTTGTTTTGTAAAAGAGGACATTGTCCGATTAGGCTACTGCGATGACTGTCGAGAACTAAACCCTGGTTGCAGTATCGGGTTACCGTGGACACCAAGCACTGGCTCAGTTGGATTTCTGGCAAGGTCAAATAACATTTCTTTACCAGTCACTGGCTTCTTGACTGCAGCTCATGTTGCGATTGAGGAGTATGGGGAATTGTTTACACAAGAAATAAGGTTTTCTGAAAGTTACTTTTCTAATCGTTGGCATTATGTAGTTCATCCTTCGTTGCCGGATAGTGCCAACAGTACCATCATTGGAAATGTTGTCGATTCATTTTGCGGAAATTATAATTCAGTTGGAATAGATGCTGCATTTGTTAAGGTGTATCAACCAAGAAAAAGAGGTATGCCACAATATCTTAAACACCCATTATAAAAGACATTTCTTGTTTCTTGTCTGCTTGTATTTATCATATGTATGTTTGTATATCGTATTTAAGGTCAAGATCTAAAAGTGTTTAGTCTCCTGATCCATTATGAATCATTCATTCAAACTTGCAGAACATACAGTACCGACCGGACACAACTTAACACCAAAGCGAACCCAAAGCGCACCCCGGGTTCGCTTCCTGGGTTCGCACGGGGTCCGCTTTCAGAAATGTTGGGACCGCTCTGGGTGCGCTTCGGGTTCGCTCCGCTTCGCTAGGGGTCAGCTCTGGGTCCGCTAGAGCGAACCTGCCATTCGCTTTCCGGGTTCGCTTAGCTCACTCATGCGTGAAGCGGACCCCGCTTTAATCTTGCCGCCAGTAAGGCCCGCCCCTTCTATATTCCAAATACAGTAGTGAAATCGATCATTGTTGTTTTTAATGCGATCGAAACATGTACATGTAGGTGACAATATGGAGTACGTTGATAAATTTTCAGGAATTTCACCGTACATTCGACGTAGAATTATAACTTTTATTTTTCTCAACTTACAAGTATATCTCGAGAAAAAAAGACAAGGTGTTGAATTTAATTTCGATGTATTGGATGGAGTGAAATTGATAAGAGTATTTTAACAAAAAAGCTTTTAAATTCATTTGTTTACATTAGACATGCGTGAATAGTATTAAAATCAGTTGGAACTTCCAATTGTAATTGCAATTGCTAAATCGTAATTTAAATGTTTGAAATACAAACAAATGAATTATGATCTTATCGATGAAATAGCTGAGACATACTGTACACGTAAAATGCTAAGTTTTTAGGTCACCTGAGTCACTCCGGTGAACTATTGCTATCCAATTTCGTCCGTCGGCGTTCGTCGTGCGTTTACATTTGAACATTTTTAGCTTCTTCTCTGTAACCGCTCAACCAATTTTGGCACATAGCACCTATGGGTGAAGGGGAACAAAAATTATGAATTTCATGGTCCCCTCCCCCCCCCGGGGCCTGAGGGGTGAGGCTAAACCCACCAAAATTAATGCAATCTTTAAAAATCTTCTTCTCTACTCCTGGACATCAAGCAATAAAACTGTTGGTATGATTGTAATATGGATTGAGTTCTCTACCAAAATTGTGAAATTCATGGCCCCAGGGTCAGGGGTTGTGGTGCTAGGGTGGGGCTATACACATCATATAGTGAAAGTGCATTATTTCTTTGAAAATCCTTTTCTCTGCACCTGGGTATTTAATAAACTAACTAAGTACATAGTTATGTTGAGCAAGACTGCCTCTTCCAAAATTGTGAATTTCATGGCCCCTGGGTCAGGGGTTCTGGTGTTAGGGCGGGGCTTTATTGATTATATAGTGAAAATGCATTAAATCTTTGAAAATCTTCTTCTCTGTTCCTGGGTATGAAATAAACTAAGTACATAGTTATGATGAGCAAGAGTGCCTCTACGGAAATTGAATTTCATGGCCCCAGGGTCAGGGGTTCTGGTGTTAAGGCGGGGCTCTATTGATTATATTGTGAAAATACATTAAATCTTTGAAATCTTTTTCTCTGCTCCTGGATATGAAATAAACTAAGTACATAGTTATTATGAGGAAGACTGCCTCTTCCTAAATTGTATATTTAATGACCCCTTGATCAGGGGTTTTTGGTGTTAGGGCGGGGCTCTATTGATTATATAGTGGAAATGCATTAAATCTTTGAAAATTTTCTTCTCTGCTCCTGCGTATGAAATATACTAAGTACATATTTATGATGAGCATGGCTGCCTCTTTCAAAATTGTGAATTTCATGGCCCCTGGGACAGGGGTTTTCAGGTGAAAGGGGGGGGGGGACTTTATTGATTATATAGTGAAAATTCCTGGATATAAAGCAAAGAAACAAGTGTATAGTTATGATGAGCAAGGATGCTTTTACAATTTTTTTTAAAACTTGTGGTCCCAGGGGTTCTGTTGTTTCTCTGAAAGGGGGGGGGGGGCTCTGTTTGATTTTATAGTGGAAATGTGTTAATTCTTTGAAGATCTTCAACTAATTGCATAGTGTATTGCATATGATGATGAGGGTACCTTTTCCAAATTTGTAAATTTTCATGACCCTAGTTCATGGGTTCTGGTGTTAGGGTAGGGCTGTGTTAAATAGTAAAACTGCATTATTCATTATGCAAATTTCCTCTGCTCTTTGGCATATTTGGAAACAAACAGAGTAAAAGTTTTAATAAGCAAGGTATTTTTACCAGAAGTTTGAACATCTGGACCAATTAGTCAGGTGTTCTGGTCCTGGCCAGGGCTCTATTAATTTGTATTCTACCGAGTGAAGTTAATCCCCTTTGCCATTCACCTTTGATGACTGATCACTGTAGATAATGTATTTGAAAGGTTAATAGAATAAGAGAATTATGCAAGATATTTATTGTATAATACAAAAAGTACTGTCAAAGTTTTAATTGTTAAGTAGACTTGGAAATAATAGATGAATAAGAATGAAACAAAAATAACTTATCTTTTTAAATGTTCTTCAAAGGCCAGTGTGAGAGGTAAAATATAGACATTTTGTTAAATGTCTGCATGGTAACAGTGATAAAAAATAGGGACAGATAGAAAGATACTAGACCAATTATTTTGTTGATCTTAATTGTACTATTTACCTTGCTATTGGGCAACAAAGCTTCATTTATCAGTTTATGGATCCTCTAAATTGTTGTACTTGGGTGACCGTTAAGGCCCTTGGGCCTCTTGTCATATTTAGCAGTTTATATTTAAGCTAGGTTGTCGTCCATTACATGTACATGTAGGTCGTGATAATCACTAAAAACTATCATAGTACTAGTGTAACTTGAGTTTCGTTTTACAGATCATTTTATCAATTAATTCCATGCTATAAATCATTGTTTTATAAGGCGAGTTTAACGGAAAACTTATTAAAAAAAACAACAATCAAAAAGCCAAAACAAACAAAAACTAATACTAGTAACTGGTCCACTGATAGAATGTATTAATTTTTTAAAGTTATTTTCAAATAAATGACCATTTGATTAGTTTTTGTTCTTTGCTGGTTCATGATCCCCCCCCCCCCCACTACATACATGTGTATACTGGAGCGGCATATAAACAATTAAAATTCTAAATGTTTAAAAATAAATAAAAACAAGAAAGAAGACAAACAAATCAAGAATTCAATAACTGTAAAATCGCATTTGATTAAGTAGATGAAAGTAAGTTAATAACACTCGATGTTGTTTTTTTTTTAATTTCTTTGAGCCCCCCACCCCCACCCCACTCCATATTCGAATTGTTTTCTATGGGCCGGTTGTAGCGATTTTTATTTCAAATAATATACAGTGCTCTCTTTTTCTCTCTTTCGTAAAGCTATTTTACTGATTTTCATTCAGGTGGCAGCAAATTACAAGAACATGTACTTTTCATGCAACGTACCGAAGAACTATGATAATAATAATAATTGGATTTCTCATTGATAACGTGCCCAGACGAGGTAACTTAAGGGACATGAATGGTTTATGAAAGGTTCAAATGTAGGGAGAGTATATAATCAGGTATACCGTAACCATGGAGACAGTATAGAACCAGCTTACAAGTGTCAATTTAAAAAAAACAACCGCAATTGCTCTTAGCAACTGCACTACGCAGTATCTCCGAAACAGGTGGATGATTACAGACACGCGATGACCCTGGCTTCACTTTGAAACTATAGTTATTAAAGTGTTAAAATTATGACAATCAAAAAAGTTCAAATACAGGTACCTATATAATGAAAAAAATATATGTATGCTTTCGTATTGAGGTATCTTTGCAAGTTTAATTTAGTAATGTTGGTATTACGTGTACTTTTCATGCACAAGTACAAAAAATACATGTCTAGTATTTTTTTAAACATATATAAAGTATTTCGAAAATTACATGTACTACATGTAAGAAGTTCGTGTACATGTACACCTGTATATATATATATATATATATATATATATATATATATATATATATATATATATATATATATATATATAAGCATTTTTTTTTAGTTTTGTTTTTTTTTTTGACTAACTTGCAAGTAGTTACAAAAATTTAAAAACATGCACGGTAAGGTCTACATGAAGAATAATTAAACTTGACAAAAAAATCTTTGCCTATATACATGTATTACTATCAAGCTATTTATTGGATTTGGTAAAAGATTAATAAAAAAAAATCATAGTAGTTTTTTTTTTAAAGTTTTTTTTTTTTCAATTTAATATTTGACATAATGCACATTTATACATGTACTGTACAATGTTCATTTAATTTTTTTAGCTCTTCTGAGCCAAAGGCTCAAAGAGGTAATGCTACGGCCATTTGTGCGGCGTGCGGTGTGCGTAAACTTTTTAGAATATGGGCCGTAACTCAAGAACCCCTAGGCCAATTATTGTCAAATTTATCACAGGGTATCCTTGGCCCAAGGGCTCCCTTTTATACTAAAACTAGGGATGTGACCCTTTAAAAAGGGGAGATAATTAGGAAAATAGAAACAAAAGTACTGGTTGCTAAAAAATTTTCTTCTCAAGAACCACTGGGCAGATTATCACCAAACTTACTTAAAAGGATGAGGATATGTTGTAGATTAAAATTTGCAAGGGGATTTACCCTTGGGCAAAGGGCGTGGTCTCAAGGTCACTTCAAATTTGACCAAAAATTACATTTTATTAAAATGTTGATATTTTGCTTATTATAAGGATTAGGACCATCAAATCTTGTCAGTTGATGCATCTAAGGACCTCATATCCTGCTGACTCAAAAGTAGGTCACGGTGACCTACTTTTTAAATTTTGCTGCCATTCTTTTTCAGAATGATTTAGAGGCATATTTTGAACAATTTAAGGCCTATGATCATCAAACTTTGTCATTTGATGTATCTTGAGTCTTTGAAGTATGTCAACTAAAAAGTAGGTCACATTGACCTACTTTTTTGAATTTTATG